CATTTCGCCTCACAGCAAATACCTATACTAGACCATGGCTATAAATATGAAGCTTCTAACAGCTCGTGTGTTTAAATGCTACGAAAACGGGCTTAATGCTGGCTGTAGACATGCCACTTCAAGGAGGAAGAGATTTTTGCATAATTCTTTTATTCACGAATTATTTGCTCTTTTTTAACACCGAATTTTAGCAAACACTGTTCGCTCTCGCCTCCTCCTACTCTGAAACAGCTGATACTGAACTAAGAAAGAAGGCCCTGACCTTGTGAGTCTAATTATCTATCAGCCTTTTTTTGACCAAGCCTATTGGGTAAAGATAAGAGTCTGGAGAATGACGAAGGCACTTGGCAACAGAGCGTGGTATAGTCCTCTGCTATATTTGACGCAATGTGAATACTTTGTAGTCTTAGAAATGGCATGTTTCTTTTGATCTGACATAATCTTTGGTGCCTGATGGCATTTTTTAAGTGCACATTTGGCTCGAAGCCTAGTTAGCTAATTATAGTAATCTAAGCTAATGATTTGTTATCACCAGCCAATTAGTAGTCGTAATCAGCTTTATTCAACTGAACTTGCTAACAACCAACTGAAGACCTGTTAGTTGAGTTACTTACTTGCCTACCTGCCTGTGCAGTTTTCTAGATTTTTCATTTCATTCTCTATCTTGCCAATATCCACTTTGAATATGCTGACTGCATTGATTCTAAAGTCCTATGTCTTTTGTTGTTTGAAAGAAAAAAATAGCAATTTTGTTTAAGCCCAAATTGCCCTAATAATATGAGTTGTTAAGTTGTAAGGTGGATTGAAAAATTGCAGTCTGAAGCGGATATGGAGAACAAGTGGAATAAAAGTTCTGTGTTTGAAATAAGCAGCGTCTGCATGTTGTGTCACGCACGTCGTCTTTGGTAGAAACGTGCGGTTTGGGAATAGTATGGTAGAGTCATAGATTCAGAGTGGTTGGGGGAGGGGGGGGGGGGGGGGGGGGGGGGTGGGAAAGGACTTTTTCGTGACACCTTTGTCAGTAATTCCTTTGAAAAAAAATGGGTGAATACGGGCTCTCTTCGTGGTTAACAGGGTTGGTTGAGCATTTTGGTCCTCTGAGACTTTACTAAGTTTGTCACAACTATTATAACTAAGCAGAGACCATGGTTGGAGACTTTTTTTAACCAGAGAATTAAAACAGCGAAGTCCAAAGTGGCCAGATTGATTGCAATAGGTAGCTTCAAGAAGTTGAGGACAAAAGAGAACGCACCTAGAAAAGGCTGATGATGCAACTTCCAATAGTACCCTAGGGGTGGCCACGACCTACGAAAAGGTCTTCACTTAATCGAGTGAGGCTTGCTGATAAGCACTGATGCTTTTGCAGCATTCATTTTAAAAATAATCTACTTTATATAAATCGTTTTCATTGGTGCTTATTTTGTCACATATTTGTACAATACTGGTCCTATTTTGTCTCCCTCAGTTTCGAAGAATTAGCCGCTCGTAACTACGAATCTGTTCGAGTCAACTTCGCTCTGGCTATTCTTCATACCGATTTTGGTGAATATGAGGAGGCTGCCGAGTACTATCGGGCTGTTTTGGAGGTAACAGTTTTATCGTCTTCTCAATACCCAATTTATTCAACTAATATATGGACACCAAATGGGTGATTAATGAAATTGCTAATTAGGTTTCTTATTGAATTTAGCCTGTATGTAATTTTTGTTGTTACATGCCGGAGTTTCGGGAATCACTATTCACTTGACTGAGTGCCTGAGTAAGCCTGTCTGTGCTGATACACTTAAATAACTAGGTAGGAAGAGCAAAAAAGTAGGACGCATGACTTGAAATTTAATAAAAGGACGTTGAAGCGAGGCTCTGACGGTATAAATTAGTCTATCATTTATACTAGTATTGCGCGATTGGTAATCAATATATTGGTAGATGGCTCATAGTTTTTGGAAAATGCAGATTCGAAGATTACCCTAACTAATGATAGTCACTTAATCCTGGTAATTTATTCGTTGAAGTCATTGGCCAATCACTGCTGTGCAACGTGATGATTAACAAGTTTACGGTTAATCTTATTTTCTATTTTGTAGATTGATCCAGTTCACAAAAGCTCTCTCTTCAACTTGGCATTGATGTGCCACAATGAGCTCAATGACTCGTTGGCTTCAATTCCTCTTCTTCATAAACTCATTGAAGCAGGCTATTTCCAAATTCTGAATAAACAGTAGAACTTCAGCAAAAATTAAATTTCAGAAAATTATTGTATAGACGTATTCGGATCACTTCAAGTCCTATATGGTTCCTGGGGACATTGAACTTTCCGTCCTGAAAAATTCAACCGCAGTAACCAAGGTTTGAAGGATATTTGTCTAAACACCATACCATACCATATCAGTAATAGTCTCTGGCATGCTAACACTCGTTATTTTTGTTTGTTTAGCTCTTTGAAAAGGCGATAAATCTCTCACCGAATAGCCTTCAAGCGCGTCACAACTACTGTGTGGCCGTCATTGAGGATACTGGTGACCTTGAGAGGGGTGAAGAATGTCTCAAATCAGCCTCCTCGCTTGCTGATTCCAACAATCCAAATGACGAATTTGTTTTCCGACATTTGGCTATGATTCGAGCCAAACGACAAGCAAGGGATCCGTTGACTTAAATGTTTCTGACACTGACTGTAATAAAATGTATTTGTGTGTAGTTTGCTTGCAGTGATTATATTTCGTGATTGGTGTAGGTATTTCCAATGGTGCAAACAACGTACTCTTTGGTGGTGTTACTTCAAGCATGATGGATTAGGGGATCAGATTGTTCCGTCGAATTTACTTCTATATATTGAAGAAGAACTTTCTTTGAAT